TGCACCCAGTCCCCAGCAGGACATTGGTACATTCAAAACCTGACAGTAAACTCAAAGCAGTCCCTCTGAAATCAGCCTTAGGCATATGTTTCCCTGGGCTCTGGGGAAAGGAAAGGCTTGCTGAGAACTGAGAGAGCTCGAACTCCTGGTTCTGCTCTTTCAGAGTTCCCGAGCTCATACCCTATCAGGTGGGTGCTGTTCCCAGCACATTCACAGGGTGGTTTTCCCTGCCGGCACATCCGCGGGATAGTTTGATCTCATGGCTGCCTCCCCGTTCAAGCGCGGAGCAGAAACGTGGCACTGCTCACAGCTCCCCCAGAGGCTGCTCGCTCAGTGGCTTCTGACGTGTGAACCTGCGGTCGCGTCCGTGCGAGAAGTGTGACTGGAAGAGTGGTGAGAGGTGGGAGGAGGAAGGGAAGGCTACAGTTCAGGCTCGGACTGGAAAGGAATGCAGGGCATGGATAGCTGGGATGGTGTGAGGGGTGACAGATGTGAGCAGCGCTGCAGAGATATTCCTGCTTGGCATGTGCCTGACTCCAGCGCTATCAGTTTTTGCTCTGTAGAGTCTAAATATATAATCCATTGTGCTCTGGCATCTGGGTGATAAATAGTGATAAATAATGTAGTAGCTGGGGAAGGAGGGAGAAAACTGCTCCGGGGTGGAGCTGACCCCTGGGATGTCTGGGGCAGCCGCAGGGTAATAAGAGTGAGGTGGGACCAGCTCTCAGGACAGAGGGAGCTTGTTCTCCATCAGGCATTGCAGCTGAGGCTCAATGGGCGGGTCTTGGGGTTGGTTTCCTCTGTCCCCACTGAAAGTGGAATAGTTGACTTGTGCTGAGCGGTTGGTCACCTTGACCTAGCAAATATATCACCCTGTCCCTTCACCCACAGGCAGGGCTCTGTGTCCCTGAGCAGGCAGCATGTAGCACTGAAAATTGGCTCTGCCTGAAGTTCTCTCTAGGAATTGGATGCAGTCCAGGCTGCTGGCGACAGTATGAATGGATGCTAGTGCAGCCAGGGCAGGGTGCATGTGTGTGTGCACTTGGAATTGAGATGACAACTTGCCTGCAGTGGAAAGGGCTGATGTGGGCACCAAAGAAGGTGGGTCCCAAAGGGACTGCCTGTATTTGACATTCATCTGGGCTGCAGGGGCTTTGGGCAGAGGCTGGCACAGAACATGCTGAAGAAGCATTAAGGTAGCAGGGTTTTAATCCATCGTCACTGCTCCTTTCCTGCTTTTCCTGCTTCTCCATCTGTGCAAGAGGAATTAACACGCATCCTGGGAGTGGATTAGACTGCTCAAACCATGACCTCCTCATCTGTGCCTTCTGGGGATGGGTAGCCTTCATGCAGTCCCTTTGCTGGCTCTCCAGTTTTGTCAGGGATTGTGAGTGCCAGCTGCCAGCAAAGGCCTGGTGACATGCTACCTCTCACCCAGTGGGACAAGCCTTTGCTGAGCGTGTGTGACACTGGTGCAGCCAGTGGGGCTGGCAGGGTGGAGCGAGCCTGCTCCCCAGGTCTAGGCTTCCAGCACTGTTCATTTGCCTTTTGCTGATGCCTTATGAGTGTTGGCAAGCCTTGTGTCCTGTTTTCAGGGACAGCTGGGGCAGCTGTTGGCACACCAGGGAGCACAGCCAGGAGCCCAGAGCACCTGTTTCTCCAAGCCCCAGCGTGCTGCAACTCGATGGCACTCTGGGGCAATGGGTCACAGCTCTGTGTCCCACCTTTGCATCCTCTTCGATTCTCCGTGAGTTGGGGACTGGCTTGGGGACCTTTCGGAGCTGTTGATAGGATTCCGCTTCTGAGTAGTGTTAGATACTTATAATCTATGTACTTTTAATGCATAATTTCTCTTGGTTTCACATCTTTTACTTTGTTCTCTTTTGTTGGACTCTCCTGCTCCTCCTGCCCCCCTATAATTTATTCACTATTTAGTTACTTCATGTTTTAAGCATAATATGTGTCAAGTGACCTGTCTTGGTTTAGGGGGAACCTAGTATCACAAACTAATTGTTATATATCTTTGTATTAAATTGGAATGCTTAAAATGTCATTGGATAGACAAGGAAATGAGTTTGTTAAAGCCTATTTTGGCATTTGATTTATCAAAGATAGTAGTAATTGAATCTTCTGAATTTGCAAGTTGTTTTAATTGCATATTCTCTGTGGGAAAAGTATTTAGGGATACAGTGATATTTAAAATAAAAAAAAAAAAACAAAAAACCCAAACTTTCTCCAAAGAAAACTGATTTTTATTTTACTTCTGGGAAAGAACAAAGTTAGTGCTTCTTTCACTGTGAAGGCTGGTAATAACATAGCTGTTTGTGTAATACAGGGACATAACATTATGGCACAACTATAAAGCTTAAAGTGATGTTGAAATATTATGTATGTAATTAAAAAGCAACAGTATCATTTGGTAGGCAGCATGTTTAATGTTTTTCACTGTCATCTATTAGAAATCTCTGGCATAGTTTGTGATTCTTTCAGATCATTATAAATAGGCTTAAATTATGTATTTCTTTAGAAATAAGCAAACTGGTAGAAATATGTCTGCTGGAAATACAGTACAGCAGAAACAGTCTGGGAGGTTGCTGGAGTGTGTGGAAGAACTTCCTGATACAGCGGGTGGGGAAGGCAAGCACTGGACCTGTTGTTTGTGAACAGAGAGCTGGTGGGTGATGCGATGACTGGAGGCTGCCTTGTGCACACCAATCACAACATGATAAGAGTTTTTGATTCTCAGAGAAGTAAGGAGGGGGATCAGCAGAATTGCCACCTTGGACTTGCAGAGGGCAGACTTTGGCCTGATTAGGGACTTGATTGACAGAGTCCCTTGAGAGGCGGTCCTGAAGGGCGAAGGAGCCCAGGAAGGCTGGAAATTTTTCAAGAAGGAAATCTAAAAGATGCAGGAGCAGGCTGTCCCTATATGCTTGGAAGACAAGCCAGTGGGAAAGAACAATGGCCTGGCTGAGCAGAGAGGTTTTTCTCAAACTCAGGAAAAAATAAAGTATTTTACCTTTGGAAGAAGGGGTGGCAGCTCAGGAGTGCTACAATGATGTTGTGAGGAAGAGCTAGAAGGGCCAAAGCCCAACTGGAACTTACCTAGCTACCCCTTAAAATGTTTTTACAAATAATGTCAGCAACAAAATGAGGGCTAAGGAGAATGTCCATCTTTTATTGGATGTGGGGGGAAACAGTGACAAAGGGTGAGGAAATGGCTGGGGTACTTAATGTTTTCTTTGCCTCAGTCTTCAGTAGCAAGATCAGCTGTTCTCAGGTGCCCAGCCCTCTGATCTGGGAGACAGGGACAGGGAGCAGAATGAATGTAATCCAAAAGGAAATGGTCAGCAACCTGCTATGCCACTTAGATATACGAAAGTCTATGGGGCCAGATGGGATCCACCCAAGGATACCGAGGAAGCTGGTGGAAGTGCTCACTGAGTCACTGTCATTTACCAGCAGTCCTGGTCAACCAGGGAGGTCCTGGGTGACTGGAGATTGACAAATGTGATGCTCGTCTACAAGGAGGGCCAGAAAGAGAATCCAAGGGAACTACATGACTGTCAGCCCAACTTCAGTGCCAGGGAAGGTCATGGGGCAGATAATCTTGAGTGCCATCATGAGGCATGTACAGAACAGCCAGGCAATCAGACCCAGCTGGCATGGGTTTTGGAAAGGCAGGTCCTGCTTGACCAACCTGATCTCCTGTGACAACGTGGCACAGTTTAATGGATGAAGGAAAGTCTGTGGTTGTTATCTACCTGGGCTTTAGTAAAGCCTTTGGCATTATTTCCCACAGCATTCTCCAAGAGAAACTGTCTGCTCATGGCTTGGACAAGTACATTTTCCCTGGGTGGAAAACTGGATGGTTGGGCCCAGGAGGTTGTCAGGAATGGAGCTACATCCATTGACTGCTCACAGTGGTATTCCCCAAGGCTCACTACTGGGGCCAGTCCTGTTTAATATCTTCATCAGTGATCTGGTCATGGGGATTGAGGGCACACTCAGTTCACAGATGACTAAGTTGGGTGGGAGTGTTGATGTGCTGGAGGGTATGATGGCTCTGCAGAGAGGTCTGGACAGTCTGGATTGACGGGCCAAGGCCAGTTGTGTGAGGTTTGACAAAGCCAAGTGCTCAGTCCTGCACCTGGGTCACAACCCCACACAGCTCTGCAGGCTGGGGGGAAGGCATCCTGGAAAGCTGCCTGGTGGGAAAGCACCTGGGATTGCTGGTTGACAGTGGCTGAACATGAGGCAGCATGTGCTCAGGTGGCCAAAAAAATTGATGTCATTGTGGGTTGTGTCAGCAGTAGCGTGGACAGCAGGACCAGGGCAGTGACTGTCCCCTGTACTTGGGACTGGTGAGGTCACACCTTGAACCCTGTGTTCAGTTTTGGGCCACTCCCTACAAGACAGACATTGAGATGCTGGAGTGTGTCCAGAAAAAAGGGCAACAGAATGGGGCAAGGGTCTGGAGCACAAGTTCTGTGAAGAGCAGCTGAGGGAGCTTAGTCTGGAGAAGAGGAGGCTCAGGAGGGACCTTATCACTCTACAACTCCCTGAAAGGAGGGTGTATTCAGGTGAGGATTGGTCTCTCCTCCGAAATAGGAAGCAACAGGACAAAAAGAAATTGCCTCAAGTTGTGCCAGGGGAGGTTTAGATTTGACATAAGGAATATTTCGTCACCAAAAGGGTCGAGCACTGAAACAGGCTGCCCAGGGGAGGGGTGGAGTCACCATCCCTGAAGGTATTTAAAAGTTGTGTAGATGTGGCACTTGGGGACATGATTTGGTGATGGCCTTGGCAGTGCTTGGGTAATGGTTGGACTTGATGATCTTAAAGGTCTTTTCCAACCTAAATGATTCTATGATTCTGTGATGTGCACCTGAATTTTGGCCTGGGTTGCCTGAAGTTGTGTGCAAATACCCATCTGGGAAAGTCTCCTTTTCCTCTGAAGTCCTGAACCCAGCTCTGACTGCCTCCTCTCTTCTCTGCAGGGTGGTGAAAGAAGAGATCTCGGATGACAATGCCAAGCTTCCCTGCTTCAATGGCCGGGTGGTGTCGTGGGTAAGCAAGCCCCTTGCTTCAGTATCTCTCAGCCTGTTTGTGCCCTCTCTGAAAGCACCATTTGGATGTGGAGTGCCAAGTAAAGCACAGGGGCTGCTCCACGCTGTTGGTGTTCTGGTGCTCGCAAAGCTGATGAGCTGGATCCCCACACTCCAGTCCCTCAGCTGGAGAGGGAGCTCTCTGTGATGCTGGGTCCTCTGTGCCAGGGAAGATGTGGGATACCTCTATGAAGAGCTCATGGTAACTGATGCCTAGCAGAGATAATGGTCATGGCCTGTCCACAGCATAACCCCTGTGCCCCTATGGCAGGGTCAGCTTTCCAAGGAAAGTCCCGCTCCAGTGACTGGCGCAAAGGGCTTAAGTGACTTTAGTGCTGGTGAAGCGGACTGGATTTGACTGCCCTGAAGACTAAAGGTACTGCCTGGGCAGCTGCAGGACAAGCTTTTCCCTCAGTACCATGCCATGCACATGCTCTGCTCCCTGCTCGCATGCTTCCCTCTGTCCCCACGGGAATCCTCCGTTAGTGGGGGGAGAGTCTCCACAGCACATCATCCAGTTTTCCCTCTGCTGAGCTGCAGTTTTTGCTGATGAGGGTGTGTGGATCTACACCAGAAGGAGAGCCAAGACTCATGTGCCTTTTTCCAGAGACCTCTAAACAGATTCTGAGCAGTAAAAATCCTCAGCAAATCAGGTTAGGTCAGACCTAATTCTACTTCTATCCCTGCACCAAACAGTGATAGGGGTAGGCAGGGACCCCAGTGCTGACACAGCTGCCGCTGGGATTCCAGCCAGGGGAGCAGGATGCAGGCTGGAGCAGGGAGGAAAGGCTGTGCTGGGCTCCTGCACAAAGAGCCGGGGCCAGACGCCCGCCGTCCTCCCTCTAGCGGTTATCCAGGCCCTTCGGAAAACAGCCTGTGTCCGGCTCTTGGCCGCCACACATTCCTCTGCATCCATCCTGCTGCTGCTGCATGTGCCCCAAGAAGTCTCCCCACCCTTTCCAGCTGCTTTTTGCTTTCACCTGCCCTATGGGGAGTCCCAGAGTCTCTAAATCCATTCCATTGCTCTTTTTTTAATCTGGTGTGCTTTTCCTTGTGATTCATATATCCATGCAGCTGCTGGCTTTCCTTGTAGGAGCTCTCTGGTTGTTCAGAGTGAGTGGCACAGATCTGGTGTGGGTCTGTCTGGTGTGACCACCATGCTGCTGCTCTGCTGGGCTGGATACTTGCAGGGAACTTGTGCCCAGAGGGAGCATCCCTCCCAGCTCTTGTGCATGAAGGGTAATGGCAGTCCCAGAGGCCTTTGTACCCCTGATGATCCCTTTTTCTACCTCTGCTGAGAGTCTCCTAGTCCATGGGTGGTTTGGGGGCTGAGAGGGGTGCACTTGCTTTGCTGCTTCTGACAGACAGGCTGGGATGATGCTATTTTAGGAACTCAGTACTAATGTTAGCAACAGGGAAAGACGGGGGCTTGAATCTAAGTGAGTATTTCCTGACAGTGTAAGAGGCAGGAAAAGTGCAGGATGGTTATCAAAACCTTCCTGTGAGGAAATCCCAGCCTTGGGAGTGTTAGAGGAAGATAGCATCAATCCCGCCAGCTTGGGAACGCCCCCTCAAGTCTCGTCACTATTGTTTGACAGCTACCTGTGGCTAGTTCCCTCTGTCCAGATCTATTTGCTTGATGTTGCTTTGAGATTTTCAAGCATAAAGTATTGTATGACTTTTCCCTAGGCAATGTTTACCACTTTCAGCATCTTTTCTACCCTGTACTCCCAGGCAGTGGCTACCAGAGTAGAGATGTGGCCCTTAGGGAGGGGGATGTGTCCTGGGAAGACAAGTCACCAGGAAGGTTCCAGGAGCAGAGCCAGGCATGTGCCTGGGGCTTGCTGGAAGGAGGGAAGCTGACCTGAGCGTGAGACAAGAGCTGCTTAATTGTGAGAGCAGGAGCTGTTGGGCTTGTCCTGGGGCTTGTAGGACGGGCTCTGCAGCTTTTGACACTAGAGGCTGCTCTCTGCCCTGTCTGCTGCCTTGGCTCTGGCTTTTCCAAGTCTGCATTGTCTTCCTTGTCCCAGCTACATCCCTGTCTCTGTTACCAATGTCTCTGGCAGTGGACCTCTCATCTGCTGCACTAATGATGATCTGTGGGCTCCAACCCCCCCCTTACGAGGGTTTCCCCAGTTCCTGAAGTTGGGTAGGGCACCGCTCTTTCATCAGTGATGCTGGGAAGCACTCAAGACCTGTATAAATGGGCTATGCTTCTAGCATCTGAGTTGGCATCTGCTTTTGGCTCCATGCCGATGTGGTTCCCTCACCAGCAAGCAGTAGTGCTGCTTCTCAATTTACCCTGGGTATTATGGTTCAGACAGCAGCTTTTATCCAGCTTATGTTTCATGTTTCTTCTGTCCTGAGCAACAGTGGGTATCTCTCACCTCTGTTCTGGAGATCCTGAATGCCTTTGTCAAGCTTTTTGTTGCTTTCTTGCTTGGCCCTATTGGGATTAGCCCAGTTCATTACATCTTGAAATTAAGGGAGAATGCAAATCTGGACAGGGGGCAATACTGGGGAGCAGTTCATTCTGGCCATCTTCTGTTTCATTCCACTGGTGAGCCTCTGGCCCTTGGGAGAGTCTCCAGCTCATTCCCTGAGCCCTGAAATTGATGGTTTATTACAGAACCAGAGTCACACTGTGTTGATGTGCCTGGGCTGCCCCACAGCATGGCTGCTATAAAGAGTCTCTAGGGTTTAACCCTTTCTTGAATTTCTGCACTGGGGAATCCGTTGAGCATCCCAGAGATTGGGTGAAGGTTGTGCGCAAGTCAATAACCTGAACACAGCCTGAAAGTTTGTGAAGCACGTATGGAAGCCAGAAAAAGAGCCTGTTTCAAGAGTCTATTTCAAAGCTAGCTTTGGCCCTGAGCTCTGTTACCCCCAGTTTCTGAGGAGTGGGAAGGTAAAAGTCCTGCTGGATCCCACAGCTTGAAGGCAGAACTATAGAGGCTGCTAGAGCTGAGGAAAGGAGTGACTTGTAACTGCTTTTTCCAGTGTGAGAACTGGGGGAATCCAATCCCTACTGCAGGATGTGTGCTAAAGGTTACCTGAGTGTGTGGTGTGGGTGTGCAGGTGATGTCAGAGTGTCCAAGCACGGCTGTCACCCAGCCAGGCTTCACTGCTGGGTCAGGAATTCCTGAGCCACAAATAGCCAGTGTCTGGGGGGAAATGTTGCTACATGCTTGGCCTGTTCCATACCTGCTCCTGGGCATCTGCTGTTGTCAACTGCCAGAAATGAGATCCTGGGCCAGGCAGGCTTTTGGCCAGCTCCTTTGGCCACTCTTCTAAATGTTTTCTCTGTTTCCTTTTCTGTCTCTCATCCCTCCAGCTGGTGTCTGCAGAGGGTTCCCATTCAGATGCCGGCTCGGTCTGTGCCGATAACCAGACAGAGCTGCCACCCTCCATGGAGCGCACAGGAGGAATTGGAGATTCCAGGCCCCCCTCTTTCCAGTAAGTTACATGGACATCTGTTCTGGTTTCCAAGGGACGCATGGTGCATTTGCTGTAATATAGATTAGTATCCCAGACCGGGCTGGGACACTCTTACCCAAATTGTCAGGGATGACAGCCATCAAGAGGGGAGGAGAGTGGGGCTGGGAGCAGATGTGGAGTGTGTTATTCAACAAACAAGGGCATGCTGAAAATAATGCAAGGAAAAAGCACAGCATCCCTAGCCCTTTGCCCTGCACTCGTAGATGTGCTGTGGTTGTTCCTGTCCCTCAAGAAGGAGACAGCTGATGGCTGGAACCTTGTGTTGGTCAGGACAGAGGTAGAGAGAGCCTTGTCAAGTTGTTCCCTGTTGAACATATTTGTTGCTTTTATCTCATCACAGCCCTAACACTGGGGGCAGTCGGGAAAACTTGGATAATGAGACAGAGACAGACTCGGTGGTGTCATCACAGAGGGAACGACCTCGTCGGACAGATGGGCCTGAGCATGGTGAGTGTTGGTAATGTGGTGAGAGCTCTGCAAGGGCATGGCTGGAGCATGGTGGCAGCACCAGCTCTAGACTTAGGGCAACTTTCTCTGCTCTGTAGAGCTTCCCAGCTCAAAAGGGCTATTCTATGGCTTTTAGAAGGCCCATAGCCTCACACTGGAGGCAAGACCTAACACCTGTGTTAGAGAAGAGCTTGTGTTGAACCCTTTGTGGTCAAAGGAGATATCTCCTGTAGAAGCCTCAAGAGCAAGAGATAGTTGTGCCTCTGTCTTCTTAGCTGAGATGCAGAGTGAGCTTTAACCTTGCCATTTGTGCTGCTTCTTGCTCTACCAAGGAAACAGCTTCAAGTCTTCCACAAGTATAGCAGCATTGTTCCTACTGGTCCATCAGCCTCTTCCCCATCCTGTAGTGATAAAAGAGCTATCCCATAGGAGATGGATCTGATCGCAGGGCAGACTGGAAGTTATTTGGCACTAGATGGGTTTGATTGGTGGCCAGATTTGTTCTGAGGAGGTTGTCAATGAGCCCTGCATAGGGGAAGGGTTTGTCTCAAGCCCTTGTCTTTTCACAGCACCCAGGGTAAATGGGACAGTGAAGGGAGAGCGGCGCCGAGATCTGGGTGGGTACGAGAGCTCCTCCACACTCATGAGCAGCGAGCTGGAGACCACCAGCTTCTTTGATTCAGATGAAGATGACTCCACCAGCAGGTAGGAGAGCTTGGGTCTTGGGGAGGCACTAATTTCCCTCTGACTCCCAGAACAGAAACAGATGCCTTTGCAGGGCACAGTAGTCCTGGGCTCAGACCTGCTTCTGTGTCATCCAGCAGACCCTTCTGCCATTGTCTGTCCTCCATGTGCATGTTCTCCTCTCTGCCCCTGCAGTCTTCTCTTCCCTGTACTATTTCCATAGCTCTCTTGCTGCCAGAGCCACTACTCTGGCAGCAGAAGAGCTGACTTCTGCTTTTGCCTGCAGGTTTAGCAGTTCAACAGAGCAAAGCAGTGCTTCTCGTCTAATGAGGAGACACAAGCGACGCCGGCGGAAACAGAAGGCTCCTCGCATTGAGCGGGTACCCAGGAAGGGGCTGGGTATCCTGGGGTGGGCAGTGCAGATCAGAGTGGGCTCAGGGATTCAGCTGTTTCTGCTGTGGGCATGGGTTTGGATGAGTGTCCAAGTTCTGAGACTTGCTGTGAACCTTTTCCAAGCCAATGTAGCCTCAAGAACTGGGACCACAGGCCTTGTCTCAGCTGTAGAGAGGTCATTAGGACCATGGCTGTTCTCTGGCTCTGCAAAGCTCCCAGGATAAGACTGGAGTAGTGGGTGGTGGCTGTAGTGCCACAAGGAGGGACAAGAAGGAGAGGACAAGTGGAAGAAGCTAGGGCTGGGAATGTTACTGAGGCACAGGAGGACATCTCATGTTTTGCTTACGTTGCAGTCCTCATCCTTCAGCAGCATCACAGACTCCACCATGTCCCTGAACATCATCACGGTCACGCTGAATATGGGTGAGTGGGAAGTGTGCATGGAGCCTGCAGTCCTTCCAGAGCGAGATTGGGTCGTGGAGAGGGAACTGGGGAGGGGGCAAAGAGAATGCATGAGGGAGGAGTGAGAAGATGGATTCTGTAGAAGATTGGCTTCTGTTGTAGAAATTGCCTCTCAAGAGTTTGTGTGTCCCAGGACATGTCTATGTGACAGGGGTTCAAATCGCCATCATTAGGATGTGGTTTTACGGAGGTTAGGTGTGCTTGTGCCTGATGCTTTGGGGTGACTTCTTTCTCTTTCCATCCCTGCAGAGAAATACAACTTTCTGGGCATTTCTATTGTGGGACAGAGCAATGAGCGTGGGGATGGAGGCATTTACATTGGCTCTATCATGAAGGGAGGCGCTGTGGCAGCTGATGGCAGGATTGAGCCAGGAGACATGCTCTTACAGGTACTTCACACCCACATATCTCTGTCTTTGGGCCTGGGAAAGCAGTAAGAAAAGACCCAGAAGCCTCCCTGAGAACTTTGGCAGGCTAAACCCAGGAAGCTGTGCTTGGAAGAAGGAAGCTGAGTCACTGCTGAGCTGAGTGGGGAGCTCAGCCTCTGGTCACATCTCTGGGACTCACCTCTTTGTGTTGTTTGCAGGTAAACGACATCAACTTCGAGAACATGAGCAATGATGATGCTGTGCGAGTGCTGAGGGAGATTGTGCACAAGCCGGGGTGAGTATCTGGGTTGTTCCTTTCATCCAGGTACATCTGCACAATTTGTACTTGGGGTGTGTGAGTCGTATCTTCCAGCCAGTGCCTCTGCAGTAGCTTAGAACTTAGGTTGTTGGTGTTGCTGTGGTTCCTGTGTTTTCATGTCCAGTGCAAGAACTGCAGTCAACGGAATTGCAGGGAATTGGGGTCTGTGCCCCTTTTTTTGTGGGGATGCCATGTTGTTGCTCATTGCAGGGCAGTTGGACTAGATGACCTTTAAAGATCCTTCCTGAAACAAACTGTGCTGTGATTCTCTGATTCTATTTGGGTCATCAGCAACCCTCAGCAGGGTCACATAATTTTGTTCATGCCACTAGGGAAACCCATAGCTGGAGGGGAGCAAGGTCACTTTACTGGCAGCTTCTCCCTGTCTCTCAGGAGTGAGCTGGCACACAGCATCCACCCATCGTGCAGGGGTTTGTGTTACTGTGCTCTGGTTCTAACTCTCACCTTTTTGTTGCAGGCCCATCACCCTGACTGTGGCCAAGTGCTGGGACCCCAGTCCGCGGGGCTGCTTCTCGTTACCCAGGAGTAAGTGGATAGCTGACCCACCCTTAGCGCTGGTGCCTAGCTCATGTGAGAGCCCTGCCTTAAGCACATACTTGGTTGTTGTCTTGTTCCTCCCCTGTGTGTGTGATTCCATGGGGCACTGAATTGGGGTTTGATGGGGTTTCAGCTCTCCTTTTAGGAGGCTGTTATGTCCTATTCCCAGACCAAAATGCCCATAAGCCCAGCCCTCCTTCCCACATCACGCTGGGGACGCGTTTCACTGGGGCAGGGAGGTCACTTGCTCGGGGCGCCAGAGGAAAGAGAAACCCCCGCTTAAGTCATAGGGGGATCTCTCCCTCTGCACCTCTCCTGCTGACCCTCCCTCTCTTCTTTCTCTCCCAGTTGCTCCCCAGCGGATCTGGGCTGGGCCAGACTCTCCATGCTCCGATCCGGGTGAGTCCCGGCAAATACTGGGGATGGAATGGGCTGTGCCGAGTCCCTGTCCCTTCCCAGAGGTTGTTTTGATGAGATGATAATTTTTTACAATTACTGACCAACTCTTTCTTCAATGCAGGTGAGCCCATCCGGCCCATCGACCCGGCAGCCTGGGTGTCTCACACAGCAGCGATGACTGGCACCTACCCAGCGTACGGTATGAGTCCATCCATGAGCACAATCACTTCCACCAGCTCCTCCATCACCAGCTCCATCCCAGAGACTGAACGTAAGTTCTTGTGCCTCCGTGCTGCTCCTGCTGCACGGCCTCCTCACTTTCACTATGCTGAGAAGGGAGCAATACATCTGCCTGGGGACAGCTGGGGTGGCCCAGATCTGCCCTGCCAAGGGACTGGGAGGGAGGCAGCTCTTGCCAGGCTGGCACTTTGATCAGTAGGAGTTCTACCTGGGAGAATTAATATCATGTTTTTCAGCCTTCTGTGTGAAGAGAGTAGAGGAGCCGGGGTGCAGTCAGGAATTCTGGCAGGTGTAGAGGAAAGGCTCAGACCAGTCAGAGGTTAGCTGCTGAGAAGGTGGAGCCGATGGATTCAGCATGTCCCTGGAGCAATTTAGAGGTCCTCCCAGACAACAGATAGAGCAGAATAGAGGAGGCAGCTGAGAGCAAAGACCCTTGTGCTGGGGTCAGGGTCCTGCTGAGCACAGGGCTGGCTCTTGGTTACTTTCTGAAAATTTGGGATGATTTGGTATGTAGAGCCCTGAAGCAAGGGTCTGGAGAGCTTGGGTGAGGCAACAAGCCAGGAGTTTGTTGTAAGTTTGTGACTCTTGCCTGGGCTTTGCCCAAGAGGAAACGGGCGACATGTGAGGATAACATGGGAAGGCTGAAAGAGGGCAGCATGTACCCCAAGGCTGTCTGCGATGTATTGTTCCCCAGCCCATTCCTCCTGTGTGTGATGCTTTCATGTGGCCCTCTTGTCTCTTCTGTCCTCTCTCACCTCTGCCTACCTTCCTTCATTCACACCACAGGCCTCGATGACTTTCACCTGTCCATCCACAGTGACATGGCCACTATTGTCAAAGCCATGGCCTCACCAGAGTCAGGCCTCGAGGTGCGTGACCGCATGTGGCTGAAGATCACCATCCCCAATGCCTTCATTGGTAAGAGACTGCGCTGCCTGCAGCAGAGGCAGGGACTGGGGAATGGGTGGCCCATTTTCAAGTAGGTGTGCAAGGGAGCATCTGTGTCACCGTAAACAAGCTGTTGACTAGGCAAGAGTCACAAATTGAACCTCTTGACCCACTTTGTCTTTGCTCCAGTGTGGCTCACTGCCTCAAGAGTCGCCATCTTCCTCTCTTGCCAAATTTAACTCTGTATTTGGTGGCAGGTTCGGATGTGGTAGATTGGCTCTATCACCACGTGGAGGGCTTTACAGACCGCCGTGAGTCCCGCAAATATGCCAGCAATCTGCTGAAGGCTGGCTACATTCGACACACCGTGAACAAGATCACGTTCTCGGAGCAGTGCTATTACATCTTCGGGGACCTCTGTGGAAGTATGGCTCTTGGTGTGGGTGGGAGGGAGAGGATGGAGGGGTAGTGGTCCTGCAGAGCCCTGCTGACACCATGGGGACACACTGACAGCCGTTGCCATCAGGCTGGGCCCGTTGTTCTACAGATCCTGTTAAGGGAGTGATGAAGAATATCCCAGCTCCCTTGTTCTGCTGCTGAGGTAGTGAAGTTGGAAGCAGCATTGAGTGTCACCTACCATGTGATCTTTTCTCCTAGGCAGTCATAGCAGAGTCTTAATCTTTACTGACTGTCTCCAGGCTCTGAATTTCAGTGCTGGCAAGGGGTTGATGCTCAGGCAACTGGATTCTGTTCAGATAAGGTGGGGGAAGGAATTGGCAGGATGAGCTGTAGTTCTGGTGTGGTCCTTTCCCACCAAGCTGGTCTCTGTATTAGAGTGGCAGCTTGGACTCCCACAGCCTGGCAGTTGTTCAGCCAGGAAGCACAAATGGTGGCATTGACTAACAGAGAGAATGCCAACTTCTTGTGTCTCCTTGCATATCCTGTCCTTATCCATCAGCAAGAATGGACAGAAAGCTGCTTCGTCACAGAGTTGTTTTTCTGCTTGGATTAACCCCTGTTCTCTGCTTTTCTTGCAGACATGGCTAATCTGTCTCTTCATGATCATGATGGTTCCAGTGGTGCCTCTGATCAGGACACTTTGGCTCCGCTCCCCCACCCAGGAGCTGCACCCTGGCCTATGGCCTTCCCATATCAGTATCCACCACCTCATCCATACAACCCCCATCCCGGCTTCCCTGACCCAGGCTACAGCTATGGAGGGGGCAGTGCAGGCAGTCAGCACAGTGAAGGTGAGTGAAAAGGACTAAAATATGCCTACAGGGTGGGCAGATGTCCTGTTCAGTACAGGGCAGCAGCAGGAAAAGGCTGCTTAGGCAAGGCCTAAGTATGTGGGTGAAGAATGAAAAGCAAAGGGTTGTGGGACTTGGTGCTGAAGGGAGAAGGACTGTGCTGGGGCCTGGCAGTGCAGGAGCACGCTGCAGTCCTCCCTTGGGTAGAGGAGCATCCATCTGTTTTTCCTGACTTGTCTGAGCTGGCGCCTAACCTTGCCTCGTGTGCTTTGCAGGGAGCCGGAGCAGTGGTTCCAATCGCAGTGGCAGCGAGAGGAGGAAGGAGAGAGAGAAGACTGGGGAGTCGAAGTCAGGCGGCAGCGGGAGCGAGTCAGACCACACCACGAGGAGTAGCATGCGGCGCGAGCGTGCGGCCAGTGAGCGCTCGGTGCCGGCCAGCCAGCACAGCCAGCGCAGCCAGCACTCCCTGGCTCACAGCATCCGCAGCCACCACAGCCAGCAGTCGTACGGGCCGCCCGGCCTCCCCCCTCTCTTCAGCCCCCCCATGTTGCTGATGCCTCCACCGCCGTCAGCCATGGGGCCCCCCGGGGCGCCGCCGGGCCGTGACCTGGCCTCTGTGCCCCCCGAACTGACAGCCAGTAGACAGTCCTTCCGAATGGCCATGGGCAACCCCAGTGAGTTCTTTGTGGATGTAATGTGAAGCGCCCGTCCCTTGTCTGTCTGCTGTCCCTCCTTCCCCCTTCTATCCTGTCGTTTGTTTCCTAGGACCAGCCCTGGCTTCACCCCTTGTTTTTTTGGGGTTTTTTTTGTTTCTTTTTTTTTTGTCTTGATAACGAAAAGAAAAAAAAGGGAAAAAAAATAATAAATGGAACTAAACCTTGATTCTAATCCCTCCTCGAGCAGGGTGGACAGGCCTGGCAGGCCTGCTGGGTGCTGTCAGCCCATCCCGCCACCAGACTTGTGTATTGCCGATGGTAATTCCCTCCTGCCATCCTCTCTAACCCCATTAATCTGCATCCGTCCCAGCACCCTGTGCTGCTTGCCCGTGTGTCACTGCTGCCTCAGTCCTTCCACCCTAAACATCTCTTCTTTCTTTTCACCCTTTTGTGTTTCTTCTATCAAGCAGCAAAGAATTACGGGGTGTTTGACTTTCTCTGAGCCTGCCGCCCATGGGGGGGAGAGCTGGAGCATGGCGTGGCCCGACAGCAGGACACGGAGCTCCAGGGGCGCTGGGCACACATGGCGCTGAAGATGGCTTCTTTCCTCCCCCTCGTGGAAGATGCCCTGCCCTTCCCACAGCCCTGAGAGGGGAGCAGGGACCAGCCTTATATATGTATTTTAAATCCCATTGTAGTTGCCTTCTGGCTAATGCATGAATGTTCCAGGGCTTCAGTGCCTCTAGGGAGTGGAGAGATGCTGCCACTTCCCTCTTGCCTCCCTTGTCTTGCCCCACGTACTGGCCAGGTCCGAGTCTGACACTGCCTCATGGCAGGACCCTCCTTCACCTTGGCCAGGCCTCAGGGCTGGGGCTGTACTTCTGCATCCAGCCCAGAGAGGTGGTGTGAGTTGGTGTCCTACACCTGCCTTGGGGTTCTTTGGGGGGGATTTAAGGGCAGAGCTCTGCTCCTTCCATCCTGCTCTTTGCCCTCCTGCCTGCAATGTGCTGCTGCCTGTCCTGTTTGTAGGGCCTGTCCCATGCCTGGGGCTGGCGGTGGCAGCTGTGGCCTTCTCCCTCCTGCTGTCATGCTGCTGCTCAGCTATGTGCTACCTTCAGGGGCCTAGACTGAGTTAGAAGGCGAGGGTGGGGCACAACTGGTTCATTTTCATGCTTTGGAGAAACATAGAGGTCCCTTGTATTTGCCCTCTGAAGGGGCTGAGTTGGTCTCCTCCTCTGCCCAGTGCTGCTGGCCTGACTACTGGGAGGGACAAACCTCTGGGACAGCCTCTCTCCCTCTGGGGTGTGAGCGGTGGCAACTCGAGCTCTCTGGGGATGAGACTGCAGCCAGAACCATGGCCTTTGGGCTCAGTGCCCACAGGTGGGCTGGGACAGTTGAATCTGTTTGCTCCAGTGCTCCCTGCCCTTCTTCCTTCCACTTCTGGGTACTTGGAGACGTGCCTGGGACTGGGGCAGCCCTTTCCCCATGCCCAGGGCGAAGCACGGTACAGTATGGACACGCTCAACCCTGCTGCTGTTGGTGCTGGCGCCCCGGCGCCCTCTCCTTCTGCCACACCGTGGCTTTCTCCATAAGCGTTACCTCCTTTGGTCTTTCTTGTGTTCGCGATTTTTATACAATGGAGTTGAATTGTATTTTGCTCCCTGGGAGTCTGCATTGCCCCTGCAGCCCCACTGCCAGCTCTCACGCGCCATCAGTTCATCTCCCTGACTCCCTAAAGCCTCTCCTTCCCTCAGCCCGCTGGAGTCAGACTGTCCCCAGTAGCCTCCCTGGCCACTGCTCACCCCTTGCCCTGCCCTACCTACTGGGTTTTATAAAAACAACACCAATCTCCTTGTTTTTATTTATAAACATAGTTTTATTGGACTCTTGCCTTGTGTGGTCCGTTTCTTCTTTTCCCCTAGCCTCTTCCCTCCTCCTGCCTTTCGCTCTAAAGCAAGATCCCAGCAGGATGGGGGCACCCTGTGCCATTGTGCCAGTTGTCTTTTCCCGGGTTGCCGAGGGTGGCTGCGGGCTGAGTCTTTCCGGAGCAGGGCCTGGGCGGGGGCTCTCGGGCTTCTCTGGGTCCCCGTTTCCAGCGGCAGCACTGCGGGGAGAACCAGGGGCGAGTCCGACCGCAGGAGCTGGCTCTTGGCGGAGTAGTGCTGGGCGAGGGAATGAAATGCCTGCATACGAAGCCAGCGGGAGCTAGCAGCCCTCTGGAAGGGTGTGGCTTTACAGGGCGAGAGCGGCCTCCTGCCCGAGCGCACGTCCGGCCCACCCGCTCACTGACCGCAGCTACCATGCAGTCCCCGCCCCGCCACAGACTACAACTCCCAGCATGCCCTGCGCGGAAATGGAATTCCCGCCCCCGCCGCGCTGCCCCCCCTACGGAAGCGCACGCGCAGTGGAGAGGCGCGGGCGGGGCGCGCGCGCGGCGTCTCTGCAGTGCGCGGGGGGGCGCGGGGTGAGGGGGGGCGGCGCCGCCATCTTGGGCGCGGGGCGGCGAGCAGCGGCGGCGGTGGCAGTGGCAGGTGAGGCGCCCCGGCCCAAGCTCCGTGCACCGCCGGGCTACGCGGTCCTCGTCCCTCCTCCGGGCGGCTTCCTGCGGTCGGGCTCGCTCTGCGGCCGCGCCCGGGCGGTGGCCGAGCTGCCGCGGGTGGCGGCTCTCTGGGCGCTGGTTAGGGTCTGCAGGCCCAGGGGTGGGGAGGAGGCTGCAGGGCTAGGTGTCCTGTCCGCTGCCCTTGGGAGGGACGCGAGAGTGCCCCTGGAGCCGGGAGGGGGAGAAGCAGGGCCGCCCGGGAGGGCTTTTTCTGAGCTTCCTCTGAGGGGGTGCTGGGCGACCCCATCATTCATGCTCAGGGGGATTATTAACAGCTGTTAATTACTTCTCTTGCTGGAATACCTGTGTGGCAGCCCTGCGGTGCTGTACCGGGGGAGGGTGGGGAGGGGGTCGGGCTGTGTGTGGCACAGGAAGGCCGGCACCGATGCGTCAGGTCATCCTGAGCAAAGGTTTTTTTCAGTCGGATCGGGCTGGAACTTCACCGAAAATTATCTGCATGTACTACTGATCCAAACGTGAATTAGCTGGGTCATAGCTTGCATTCTGCTTCCTCCGTGGAAAACCTGCTGAGGCAGAACGCAGCGCTGCTGATGCCGAACTGCTTATTCTGAGGCTTAAAGCAGGCTCCTGTCCAGTATGGACATGGAAATGGATGCATTTCCACATCCATTCTTCCCAGGACTAGGTTTTTGGATTCAGTAAAACTGCAAGAAGCGCAGCCTGTGTTTATCACCCAGTGCAGTTGACTTCTTTCCCCACTGGGAAATGACTTACTTTTGATCTAGTGTTCTCTCCATAAGCTGTGTGAGTCCATGATCTGTTTTCTGCTTGCTTTAGTATGACAAAGCTGCTATCAAGTTTTAGCCTCAGGCTGCCAAAATCTGAGCCTGGAACTTGCCCAGATAGGTGAGTCTGGATGGCTTCTGTGGCTTGGAAGTCTCGGTATTGCAGGCTTCTAACTGTATATGGGCTCATGTGGTGTTTGGTTGGGCAATATTGACTTCAATGCTATCAGAGTTCTAGCTACTATTTTTTCCTATAGTAAAAGCTGTGTGTGTCCCTGTGAGTTTTGCTTGGAGGGACAATCTCAGATCTGAAGAGATGCTGACAAACTGTCTACTTCCATATTTTTCCTGTCAGAAGGGAGGCATAACTCCTCTTCTGTAGGAAATGCCATCTTACTGACATCTAGTGACAAAGATACCTGGTGTTCTTTGGGCTGCAGAGTGGCCATGTTCCAGGGAGAGCATTGGGATGTCTGAAGGGTGTCATGGCTGGCTGCTTCCTCATCCCAAAAGAGCACAGTCCTGGCTTTTGGAGAATTGAATCTTGAGGCTGTAAAGGGTTACCTCTTGAGTTCTTTGAAACACGGGAGACTGGACATGCATTCTTGCTTGCTTGCTTGATACTATCTCTTTTTTTTTGTGGAACAGGAACAGTCACTAAACAAAACAGGCTTTATAAAGAAACTTCCTGTAACCCTAGTTAAACTTTTCTTGCTTCATCCCTGCATCAAAAAAAGGTAAAGCTAAGACTGTCTTTTGCAGAACAATGTCTTGCACTGGTTTTCTAAGCTTATTCTACTGAAGACCATTAGAGTATTTAAAGGCTGTTCCTGGGGCCAACTGGAGGATGGCCTGTGGTGCCAAAATATAATTGGTTTGTTAGGCAGAGTCTGCTTCTTTCTTTTAGTGAGTGACCTACTGAGTCAAAAGTTACTGGCAAGTCATATATTATTTTGATCTTGGCAGGAGATTGGCAGCTCTGCTGAAAACTGAGGCACAGAATGTGAAATGCAGTTATCTGCTCTCCAGTAAGAGTAGTGAGAGAAAAGCTGACACATCAGGGCACCTAGACCATTAATGGTCTTCAGAATACAAGGTCAAACTCCACTCTGTGCCTCTAACCTCTTCTGTTAGAAGACACATAGGAAGCAAATCACTTTTTCAGGTTTCTAGCTCAAGAGTAAAAAGCAAGTAGTTCAAACTGACTTTAGAAATGCTTTGGTAGAACAGGTAGAAATAGAAAAAGGCATGGGGACTGTTCACATCAGGTTGGGCTCAAAATATGGTAGAGAGGTATATTAAATGCTGTACCTGTGATGTTTTACTGGAGTAAGGGAGCTTCTTTTGTTTCCCTGTGTCAGTATTTATCTCTTATTACTCTTCAGTCTGGCTGCGTGCAGTATGGCATGAAGAAGTGGGCTGTAGGAGAAGAGCCTGGTAAGAGAACATGCTTCTCTTCCTGCCCACTGGTTATGGGGATTTATGGGATTGTGTTTAAAATAGGAACAGTTTCTCTGAAACTGATGGGTTTATCTCAGGAGCTCTTTAGCTCAGGGTATGCCCCTTAAGTAAATTATGCAGCCAGGTGATAGCAGCTACTCTTGTTTAAAACAAGTGCAGCCCATGACCTCCTGGAAGGTGGCTAATGCAGCCCTCTAAGCAAAGCTTAGATGCTCAGATTAGCTGGTGGGGTGATGGCATTGTTTTGAGCCTTAATCTTTTGGGTTGATAATGGCTAGTACTAGCTGAAAGGATGGTTGTTTTTCCAACAACTTCACTTTGCCAGAGCAGCTTGACTAATCCACCTCCTGCTTGAACTACTGTCACTTGTCCAAGATCATACTGATTTCTGGAATGCAGAAATGGCTGCATTTGGTGATTTGCCTTCAGTACCTCTCCTGCTTTCTTCCTGGATGAGAACTCAGCAGCTAATGTACCTTGAACTGCTTAGTTAGATAAGCTCATTAATGCACAGAAGTCTTACTTACTGTTAAGTCAGAACCCAAACTGTCTTTTAATAGACTTCTGAAGGTATTGGTTGCTTTACACCAGCCTATTAACTGACTTGTGATTGCTGTTTCCTGGATGTGCTCTGTAGATTACAGAAATCAGCATTCCTGTTTGCATTCAAACTAAGTGATGTCTATGCTGTAGGAAACTTCTGGCCCCATAATGGAAGTGACAAAGTCCAAGTAGCTGGGTCTTGGGCTGACTACTGATCAACTTGTGTTTATTTGTACCCTGTCCTGGATGGTACAGGAAACTCAGTGAAGCTCATGGCCTGTCTCACAGTAGACAAAAGGCCAAAAGGGCTCTGCAGGTGAGCGGTAGTCCTGATATCTGCTCATCCAGCCTCGGTCAATGGCTGGTTGAAGCCACCTGTGGTGCAAGACTTTTCAGGACAGGTATCTCTGTGGTAAGAATATCACCCACTCAACTAGCTTGGGAAAATACAGCTGATCCCAAAGCTGCCCCCTAAAATGAGTGGACAGATGTGCTCACTGGTGATGCTGCTGGTACTCATCAAATCCTGGCACAGTTGGGGTGATAATGTGAAACTGTAGTTACGTTGCTATGGGCAGCCTAAGAACTGCTGCAGTCACATTGCTCCTGAGCAGTTATTCTTGACCTGCTGTGTCACCACTGCACCTCTGAAGAGAGGATACAGAGGATTTGCTGAGCAGATGCCATGAGAGCAAATAGGCCTGGCTCAAGAGTTCAACTTCTGTCTATAGGCTTAGAGAAGCTGTCATGGAAGGATACAAAGAAATGTGTTTGTGCTTTCCTAAGGCAGAAATACCAGTATACACCCAAAATTTATGGTGAATCTGGTATCATTAGGCTGTAGGCACATTACATTGCTAGTGACACATTTCTTCCAGAGAGTTCCTGATCCTTCAGGAGCTAGAACCATTACTTCTTGCCTTGCATGTGAAACTGGAGTTAGTGCAGCCATGTTCCTTTTACCACTGAAGAAAACTGACTAAAAGTTAACTGTTTTTCCTAAGCAAATTTGAGCAGATCAGCTTGTTTGTTTTCACTTGTGCAAATACAGTTACAAAAGGCACAGAACTGTGTTCCAAAGTTTATGGTGTAGGTTGAAGTCACTGTCTCTCTTGGTGCAGGGAAGAGTTAATAATTTGTGTGGTTTCATATGAAGGACCTCAGATTATGGTACAAAGGTATTGGAGAAAATAACTCATTTGAATATCTGTGTATCTGGGATTTAAGCTGCAATTCAGCTTAGTCTTTCATACCCTGCAGTTGTGTCTTACTGCTGATGTGATGCTGAGGCTTCTCAATTAGAGAGACCATGGAAGGCTGCACTGAACAGAAACTGCAGCATTGGTACTGTGTGCTGTGGTGGTTCTGAAAGAGTTGCTGCAGATAAACAGCTGCAGAAGGAACAAACTGTGCTGGTTAGTTGATTCCTAACATGTGCCTTGTTTAGTCCAAGAAAGTTCCGTGCTGCGTGTTGTTCATTTTTCTATAGCTATTATAAGTCAGAATTGATGAAGAGGAAATGGAAGAGGAAGTCT